TAAATAAATAAATAAATAAATGCAATACTAAGAGGGACGTGGTGGCACTGCGGGTTAAACTGCTGACGCCTCTGTGCTGCAAGGTCAGAAGACCAGCAGTCGTAAGATCAAATCCACGTGACGGAGTGAGCTCCCATTGCTTGTCCCAGCTCCTGCCAAACTAGCAGTTCGAAAGCATGTAAAAATGCGAGTAGATAAATAGGTACCACCTTGGTGGGAAGGTAACAGCGTTCTGTGTCTAGTCGCGCTGGCCATGTGACCATGGAAACTTTATTTGGACAAACGCTGGCTCTATGGCTTGAATCGGGGATGAGCACCGTGCCCTAGAGTCAGACATGACTGGACTAAATGTAGGGAAACCTTTACCTTTACCTTACTAAATGAGAAGTTTGGCATTTCCCATTCATTGCTGGCATCTGTGGTGAAAACCTTGGTCGGAACCGTTAAGTAGTCTTTAAGCACAGCACTTCAATAGAGAAGCTTCAGGAGGGAAGTAGATTTCTTAAACAAAAGCTCTTTTCTTAAAGAGAAGTCATTTTTAAAGATGGAACTCCTTATAAGCCTTGTGCCCCGTTGACACAAAGTGACAAAAAATGGGGGGGGGGAGGTGACAAATGCTTCATCTGATTGTATATTTTGGAATAGTATAAAATATTCTATCCTTTGAAGAGAAGGAGAGCTTTTGAATTCCAATAAAAGTTGTTGGAAGTCTTAATTTGTGTTTAGGCATGTGTTTGTACGTTATTTCATTCTCCACCCCTTTTCTCTCTCTTCCATAGATTTTAGCTCACCTTGTTATACCAGGCAGACACAATTAGCTTTTCTTCATGGTCATGGAGCTTGGCCAGTTTGCATTCACCCTAAAAAAAAGCACATTCCTTTTAAAATGTTGGGAAACTATATGGGCCTCCCATATCATTTAAAACTCATCAACTCAATTAAGGTTTATGTCATTTCCCAAGGAGATTCATGCAACTGAGACAGAGTTGTGCCTTAACTGTTTGATCTGATTCCCCCTCCACCATAAACACAGCACTTTAGACTGCCGTATTTGAACTAAGTACTTGAAATAAACCACCATGCAGAAAAATATGTTTAAATTATTTTTACCTCAAGCGCTTCAATTCTTTTATCTTTCTCAGCCAACTGCTTTCTGAGCAACATGATTTCAGCAGATGCTGGATTTAATTTGGGATCTAATGTTTTTATCACCTGCACAAAAATGAAAATGAAATGTCTTTAGAAACCTTATCCAATCACAAATGAGTTCAGAAATTAGCTATGCACTGTTACATCATAAGAAACAGCACAATATTTTCCAGTATTGGGGAAAATGCCTTCTATATTAAATATTTATAAAGCAGTCTGTCCTGCTAAATGGAAATTGAAACCACAAAACTATGAATCCCAACCGCAACACCGAGAATGAATTTGCCTTTACATTTGCTGGAAGCTGGCATGAGAGAATGGCCTCAAGTTCTAGAATTATAAAACTGACTAGAAAATGCAGAACATAATACTTACACTTCTTGCTTTTTCCAAATACATCTTGTATCTCTCTTCCATTGACCTCATATCTTCATCTTTCTTACGTAAAGCTGTCTCCAGTTCCTCAATCCTTTGTGCTATTTCCAAGAAAACCCCATATAATCAGTGGAAACAAATTATGTTTTATCAAAGCATAACTGATGATTATGTCATCAGCCTATGACATAAATCTTTAATTTAATTATGCTTCTTATGACCCCCTTCCAGTTCTGAGACTCCCTAGGAATCCCTTTCAACCTTGAGAACACTTTGGGAGTCTCAAAAAATGGAGGGGACAACCTTCAACCTTTAACATCGAAAATCATCACCAGGATTCGGACTCATGGTCATGATCTAGTTCAATATATAGGTCAATATATCTGAGAATACTACGTTGGTGAAGGCTACATTAAAGGTATAAATTGCATGTCCTCAAGTGATAAGCCAGGGACATCTGCTCTGTTGACCGTTTTTTCTACCATCAGCTACAGCTTTGCTGGCATGTGCTAGAAGCACAGGACCAAGCCATTGCATATACAGTGGTGCCTTGAATTACAAACGTCCCAACCTACGAACATTGAGTTACGAACAGCTCCGATAGTTATTCCGGGAATCTTAATTCCATTTTGGGATTCCTCCAATCTAGCCTTTCGCATGATGTATTTAAACAACAGGGGGACAATATACAGCTTTGTCGTACTCCTTTCCCAATTTAGAACAAATCAGTTGTTCCATATTCAGTTCTAACTCTGGCTTCCTGTCCCACATATAGATTTCTCAGGAGACAGATAAGGTGGTCAGGCACTCCCATTTCTTTAAGAACTTGCCTTAGTTTGCTGGGGTCCACAGTCAAAAGATTTTGCATAGTCAATGAAGCAGAAGTAGATGTTTTTCTGGAACTCTCCCGCTTTCACCATAATCCAGCGCATGTTAGCAATTTGATCTCTAGTTCCTCTGCCCCTTCGAAATCCAGCTTGCACTTCTGGGAGTTCTCGGTCCACATACTGCTGAAGCCTACCTTGTAGGATTTTGAGCATAACCTTGCTAGTGTGTAAAATGAGTGCAATTGTACGGTAGTTGGAGCATTCTTTGGCACTGCCCTTTTTTGGGATTGGGATGTAGACTGATCTTTTCCAATCCTCTGGCCACTTACTGGAATATTGAGTGTAGCACCTTAACAGTGTCATCATTTAAGATTTTAAATAGTTCCACAGGAATGCCATCACCTCCACTAGGGTTGTTTGTCATGCTTTCTAAGGCCCACTTGACTTCACTCTCCAGGATGTCTGGCTCAAGGTCAGCAACCACACTGTCTGGGTTGTCCAGGACATCCAGATTTTTCTGGTATAATTCCTCTGTGTATTCTTGCCACCTCTTCTTGATATCTTCTGCTTCTGTGAGGTCCCTACCATTTTTGTCCTTTATCATGTCCATCTTTGCAGAAAATGTTCCTTTGATATCTCCAATTTTATTGAACAGATCTCTGGTTTTTCCTTTTCTATTATTTTTCTCTATTTCTTTGCACTGTTCTTTTAAGAAGGCCCTCTTGTCTCTCCTTGCTATTCTTTGGAAGTCTCAATTTTCTGTAACTTTCCCTATCTCTCTTGAATTTTGTTTCCCTTCTGTTCTGTTATTCGTAAGGCCTCGTTGGACAGCCACTTTGCTTTCTTGCATTTCCTTTTCTTTGGGATGGTTTTTATTGCTGCCTCCTGTACAATCTTATGAGCCTCCATTCATAGCTCTTCAGGTACTGTGTCCACCAAATCTAGCTCCATAAATCTGTTATTCACTTCCGCTGATTATTCATAAAGGGTTTGGTTTAGATTATACCTGAGTAGCCCAGTGGTTTTTCCTACTCTCTTCAGTTTAAGCTTGAATTTTGCTATAGGAAGCTGATGATCAGAGCCACAATCAGCTCCAGGTCTTGTTTTTGCTGCCTGTATAGAGCTTCTCCATCTTTGGCTGCAGAGAATATAATCAATCTGATTTCGATATTGCCCATCTGGTGATTTCCATGTATAGAGTTGCCGCTTGCGTTGTTGGAAAAGACTGTTTCTGATGATCAGCTTGTTCTCTTGATAAAACTCTATTAGCTATTGCCCTGCTTCACTCTGAACTCTAAGGCCAAACTTACCTGTTGTTCCTTTTATCTCTTGACTCCCTACTTCAGCACTCCAGTCCCCTATAATGAGAAGATCTTTCTTTGGTGTCAATTCTAGAAGGTGTTGTAAGTCTTCATAGAATAGGTCAATTTCAGCCTCTTTAGCATTGGTGGTTGGTGCATGGGTAGCCTAGTCGCTTCCAAAGATTAGGAAGGCATAAGAATAAAGCTTAATGAAGTAACACCTACAGTCGAAAGTGGCAGTTGGCTAGGAACCACTTACCATTTTGATTCAGATCTGGCTGGAGGTCCGCAAGAAGAGCCTCTTTTTTCTGAAGCTCATCATGCACTTCACTTAACTTCTCCCTGGAAGATGCAGTATTTTGAATCAGATGTCTAATCCCATTAGTATTCCACATTCTAAAAGAATGATAATAACTGAATAAAAGCTCCTTGTACTTGTCTTATAACACAAAATAAGCTGCACCAAAAGCAAGCATTATTGAGTGTGAACCCAAAATAAAATGCTTAGGAAGACTTAGAAAACTGAAGAAAATTGACGTTTATTTTAAAGCAAATCTATGGCAAGCATTTTAGGTCTTTTGTACGAAGAAGTGCAAAAATGCAAGTTAAAGGGAAAGATGAAAAAATACTTCTATTGGTACATCAAGATCAGACAGAACAAATATTTGCTATAAGTTATATATGCAATAGGGGTAGGAAAAGATCACCCTCTGGCCTGCCTGTGGCCCCCAAATCCATTGTTTTTTAATTGCAAGGAGGCTTTGGTGTTATAAAAGGAGGGCAAGGGGACATATGTAGAAGCAGCCTTCTAAGGTCCAGAGGTAGGCTTTTACAGCCTTTGGACCCCTGGAAGTTGCTCATACAGAACACTTTAAATGTTTAGACAGCATTAGGGACAAGCACAGCAGAATGTACAAAACAGAAATGAATTATTAGAGGGAACTGACATGCTTGCTTCCCCCAAAGAGAGGTAACGGGGAGCTAGAAAAGCATTATTCCTTCTCATTCCTCATGAGTAGTGCAAGAATGAACGGAAATAAAGTTATTAAAACATCTTTCTCTTTATCTTTTTTTCACAAACAGACATAGTACCCTAAAAATAGTAGATATAATGCTTAACTTACATATGTGCTGCTATTTTCTGCTTCAACTTGCTGGACTACAAAAAAAAAAACATTACACTGCTTAGAAACTATTAGGCTACAACAAAAGTAATACAAATGTACACAGACATTCACACACTCCATATGTAAGTTGCAGTCCTAAGCATCAGACACTGCATAGGAGACACACAAGATATTGCAATCTAGTAGTCCAGATTTAACAATGGCCAGTTCAAGAATGTCAACCTTGGGGATTTCTGTCCCTGACCTGGCTTGAGCAAGAAAGGCTGTACACAAAATGCTCTCTCATTTATCTATGTCACCACTCCGTGAACTTCTGGAATTGGCCACACATTTGAACCTAGAACTCACATGGAAATCAAACACTTTGTCACATATGCCATGCTGCCTAGAAAAAGGACTGCATCCATACTGCCAGGATATGGTCATCCTTTTGTCTTCACATTTTCCTTAGGCAAAACACACCATATTCTCATTGTGAAAGAAGTATTCAGCCACAACATCATGGCTGTTAGATCAAAAACAATTATAATCACCATTTTGAGATGCATCAGCCTGAAATACCTACCCCATCTCCTTCTGTCCTAGACTCTTGATCCTGCAAGGTCTTCTGGAGGTCCTCAATTTGCTGTTGCAGCTCATCAACACGCTCCTTGCTCAGTCTATTGGGAAACATGTTTTAAAACAAGTAACACGTACACACACATATACAAAATTACATATAAGTTTAAAACTTTGTTAGCCTAATCAGGAACTATGTGTTCTAGAACTGGGGGAGGGGGAAATTACCCACTTTTACAGATAGCCATTTCCTTTATCCTTGTTTTGCAGAGCTTCTTCTTATTTTGTTTTCTGTTACATATGCTCTACAAAGCCGGCTATGAATCTACCAAATGTACACTATATTCCACATTTCCAAAAACACAAGTTTTATGTTGAATAAAAAATTACCTGTTTTCCGTCTCTAATTCATTTATTGTCCGATGCTTTTTTTCTAGCTTCTCTTGAAGCTCCATAATGCGCTCATTTTCGGACCCTTCTTGTTGCAAGTGGAGCATCTTGTTTTCATGCTGTAGTCGAATGAACATTTCTCTGAGGTTTGAAAACAAAGTTAGTCGATGTTACTTAAGTCTTTTCTTTCTCCAAAGACCTGGGAGGAGCTTGATTCGTTTTTGATGATACAGTTACCAAGTGCATTTTTAGAACAACACATGGCATTTTCCAGTTTTACTCAACTACAAAGCTTCAGAACATAGCACATTTTAAAGTTGTGCAGGGGGGGAAATATGTACGTACTGTAAAGCTTGTAAAGTCTCCTCCTCTAAAGTGTCCCACCACCACCACATTATCATTCAAATGTCTTTTTCAAAAATGTACAATTAAAGCAACATCCAGGAAAAGAGAAGCAAATGGGACTTTATTCACAAAGCAAATAAGCTCTTGAATCGACCAGTTTTGTATATGATCACCTGGATTTGGACCATCACATTATATGCTTCACACTGAGGACTTCCAGAGGAATTCACACATGTTGAAATGGGGCTACTGAATCTGACTTACTACTAGAATATGACGTTTAAATTGGGTGCCTTAAAACACACTCTCTGGACTTTCTTTACATAACTGTTCAGTAAGTTAATAAACATCAAAGATATGACTACATAATTTTATGGAGAAAATCCAGAGAATGCATTTTCTGGTACACAATTTAAAAATCAAGCTTCAGTAAATGATCCTTTTATATTTATAGAAGCATAAATGATGTATCACTTGGTCTCAACACATTCACAGTCTTCCCATATGCTTGTTTCTCTTCTTACCTATATTCCACAGGCAAAATTTCTGCAGCAAGATTTTCATGACTTTTCACCAAAGGTATATCTGGAACCATAAAGCAGAATAATAAGGTTATCTCCAATGTATGTCACAAAATGCTTCTAAAGAAAGGGGGAGAGGGAATTACCTGTTTGGTTCAGATGATCCTGTTGCATTTGTGAACACCTGAGCTCTTCATTTGTCTCTTTCAGTGCATCACGCTGTATTATCAATCTCTGAAATGTTTAAAAAAAACTTAATTTGAAAAGATGTAATTTTTTTTTTAAAAAAAAATGTTCTTCTGTCTACATAATATGAGAGTTTAAATTGTTCCTTCCATCTTCCAAATGGGTTTCCTGGATAATACTGGGTATTAAAACTGAATGATTAAATATGTTTATGCTATTAACAAGAAGGCATTCTCTTGTATAAATGTCCTCAAGGCATTACAATTTTCAAATGCAGCTTTGCTTTGTATGCCTTGTATGCTGGGGTGAGGCTGGCAGGCACTTAGATCAGGGTCTTTTTCAGTAGCAGTACTTGTCATCATGTAACACTCCCCTCCCACAATGAAATACATGTGTAGGTATCCTTCAGTCTTGAGGACTATGGTAACGTGCTCTCTACGGAGGACTTGGAACAGCGTCTAGTGTGGCTGAGAAGGCCAATTCGAGAGTGACAATCCCTTCCACACTGAAGACAAATACAATCTGTCCCCTGTCCAGCTGCCTGATTTTACTGCTTTCGGGACTGCCTCTTCAGGCCAAGGCAAAGAGGCAATGAACTATATAGGATTTATACATAAGGAAATACATGATTATACATTCTACTCAAATTCTCATAAGACATGGTCTAGAACACTGGTTCTTAACCTTGGGTTACTCAGGAGTTTTGGACTGCAACTCCCAGAAGCCTTCACCACCAGCTGTCCTGACTGGGGTTTCTGGGAGTTGCAGTTCAAAAGTATCCGAGTAACAAAGGTTAAGAACCACTGGTCTAGAATAGATGCATGCTGGATTCCAATAAGCTGGATAAAAGTGATGAAGACTATAGACACGCTACCAAGAACTTTGTTGATCATAGTCCAGTTATTTAACAACTGAATATACAAAACAAAGCATCCTTTTGGATAATGAACACTAGTCTTTTGCAAAATGAAGATTTTAAGAAAGAAGCGATGCAAGAAATGTCTTGGTTCTTTAAGGAAAATAAAACTCCAAATGTACCAATCAGAGTAGTCTGGGATGCAGGAAAGGCAAAGCTAAGAGGGATAGTTATAAAGCATGCAGCAAGACAAAAAAGGAAAAAAAAAATACAAAAATACGAAGAATTAGGGGAAAAAACTCTTCCAGTTAGAACAACAGTCAAAACAAAATAGCTCAACAGAAAAAATAGTAGATAATATGAAATCAGTACATCAAATAAATCTATGGTGGATGTCAGAAATGGCAATGAAGATAAAACAAGCGAAACAAAATTTCTTTGAAAAAGCAAACAAACCAGGCAGATGGTTGCCTATAGAGTGAGAGAAGAACAAACAAGAAACCAAATTATAAACCTTAAAGACCAGGAAGGAAAGACTAAATGGGAGCAGAAGGAAATTTTTAAAAAATTGTCAAGGATTTATATCAAGTGTTATACAAAGAACCAGGGAAATCAATAATAAAGCAAAGAGTTTCAATTAAAGAAATAATCTAAAGAAAATAGAGATCTTGAATTCCTCAATAACAATGTATGAAGTGGCGGAAGCTATTAGATAACAAAAGAATAATAAATCTGCAGAAAGTGACAGAATACCGGCTGAATATTACAAGAATTTTGAAGAAGTTCTAGGTTTACTCTTTAAGAAATTAATAGAAGAAATAGAAACAGAAAAAGAAATTCCCACTTCATGGAAAGAAGCAATAATTTCAGTGATGTTACAGATCCATCAGAAATCCAAAACTATAGACCAATTTCGTTACTGAATGTAGATTATAAAATTTTTGCATCAATATTAGTAAACAGATTGAAAAAAGTTTTGGTGCAGATCATTCATCAGGACCAATCTGGATTCTTAGCAAAAAGACAAATGAAAAACAGTATCAGGATAGTATTGAATGTCTTGGGATACTATGAAGCCCACCCTGAAAAACAGATGGCATTAATATTTTTTGATGCAGAGAAGGCCTTTGACAATATGAACTGGAATTTTTTGCTGACACAGTTGCAATTAATAGAAGCTGGAGAGAAGTTTATAGGAGAAATTAAAGCAATATATTCTAAACAAGAATTTAGAATCACAGTGAATAAAGAGCTGACAGAAACAATTCAAATTCAAAAAGGCACAAGGCAAGGATGCCCGCTGTCTCCCCTACTGTTTATATGTTGGAAGTCCTGAACCAACAAATCAGAGAGGATAAGAGAATCAAAGGTTAAAGGAGATTTCAAAATTCAAGCCTACGCTGATGATTTAGTAATAATCTTAGAAGAACCTATGATGTCAATAGAAACATTAATAGAGACAATAAATGGATATGGATGTATGTCAAGTCTTAAAATAAATAAACAAAAAACAAAAATTATGATGAAAAATATAACAAAAGAAGAAAAGGAACAATTATGAAAACACTCCGGATGTTAAGAAACGTGTCAGGTTAGGTACTTAGGAATTAATATGACCAAAACAACAACAACAACAAACACAAGTACATTAATAAAGGACAATTATATGGAAGTAATGAAAGAAATCAAAGTAGATTTGCAGAAATGGTCTAAACTCCAATTATCCCTAATGGGTAGAATAGCCACAATAAAAGTTACACCTGATAACTGCAGCTAGAATTGTATATTCCAGTAAGTGGAAGACTATAAAGGTGCCGACAAAGAAAGAATTTATTGAGAAGATCTTGGAACTAGCAGAAATGGATATTTTGACAGATATACTAAACGATAGACTGGATAATAATAAATGGGAACCTCTTTATACTTGGATGAAATCTACACTAATTTAAGTAGAATAGATTAGATTAATATTATGTTAGAGATTATAAAACAAGATGAAATGAATGGAACATATTGTAATAAATCACTCCAGTTGCAACAGATAAAAAAGTAGAAAAAATACAATAAAAATACCGTATTTTTCCATATTTTTCCATGTACTTTTTACTTAAATAATTGGACCAAAAATTGAGAGTAATTTTATACAGGGCAGGCAGCCGCTTTCCCTGCCTTTTGCGAAGCTACAGAGTAAAATCACCTTTGAAAGGGCAGCACACTCGCACCCCTTTGATCCTGAAGCAGCCATGAAAAGGCGTCAGGATCAAAGAGGAACGCACGCGCTGCCCTTTCATGGCTGCATTAGCTATTTCCTAAGTTCCGCAGTGCTTAGAAAGCGGGAAAGGCAGTCTGGAAAGGGTGTCAGGATCAAAGGGGTGTGTGCGTGCTGCCCTTTCATGGCTGCATTACCCATTTCCTAAGTTCCACAGGACTTAAAAAGCAGGAAAGGCAGCCAGGAAAGGGCATTAGGATCAAAGGGGTGCGCGCGTACTGCCCTTTCATGGCTGCATTAGCCATTTCCTAAGTTCCTCAGGGCTTAGAAAGCAGGAAAGGCAGCCGGGAAAGGGCGTCAGGATCAAAGGGGTGTGCGCGTACTGCCCTTTCATGGCTCCATTAGCCATTTCCTAAGTTCCGTAGGGCTTAGAAAGTGGGAAAGGCAGCCGGGAAAGGGCGTCAGGATCAAAGGGGTGTGCGCGTACTGCCCTTTCATGGCTCCATTAGCCATTTCCTAAGTTCCGTAGGGCTTAGAAAGTGGGAAAGGCAGCCGGGAAAGGGCGTCAGGATCAAAGGGGTGTGCACGTACTGCCCTTTCATGGCTCCACTAGCCATTTCCTAAGTTCCGTAGGGCTTAGAAAGTGGGAAAGGCAGCTGGGAAAGGGCGTCAGGATCAAAGGGGCATGCACGCGCGCTGCCCTCAAATTTTCTAATTAGGGTGTTAGAAAAGGGGGGGGGTGTTGTCTTATACTTTGGATCGTCTTGTAAATGGAAAACTACAGTATTTATTTAAAAAATTACATAGGATTGCTGACAGTTTTGTAACAATAACAGTAATAACAGTGTGCTGTCAAGTCACTTTTGACTTACAGCAACCTTTCCGGGGTTTTCTAGATAGACAGTATTCAGAAGTAGTCTACTATTTCCTTCTTCTGGGGGTGCCCTGGGAGTGTGCAGCTTGCGCATGACATCTTTGATGTCCAACTGCTATACAATCTGTTTCAAGATTCACTCTAATTATATTTATGAAATAATTACAGTAGCATCTATTTCTGTTTTTCTTTTCATTCTAAAACATTTCCTTAGAGATTCAGAGGCTAACATTCCTAGGACAATCCATCCTCATGATACCTCCCTGCTTATCTTCCCTCCTAATTATTCAAGAACAATTTGCTAATGTATTTCCACGACACATGCAGAAGTCTTACTTCCTTCTCCTTAAGTAAAGCTTCATGCTTTTCTTCTAGTCGCTTCTGTTCAAATGCCAGTGTATCAGCTCTTTTGGATTCTTCAGAGAGTTTGTTATGAAGCTCTTGGACCTTGTTTAAAATGGCAAACACATGTTTTCTTTAAAAGACGACGCAAGTTATTTATTTGAAACATGTTCTCAGGTGTTGGACTGGGAAGACATATGATCACAACCAGAATTTCACTATTATTCAACAAAAATGCCTTTTTGAGTTCTGATTATTAGCTTTATGCTCCTTCTCAGCAACATTCCGACTTCATTTGACTCAACTATGAGTTTGTGGCTGTTATTCATCTGTTTATATATAACATTTTGTACATATCCCATAGCACTGGCTCCTTGACAAACAGGCAATCCTACTGTATCTTTAAGCTCATACAACAGTGTGAATAGTCTAGTGGGCTAGAGATGAATGTTGCCCCCAACCTTCTGGATTAAACTCAAATAGTCTGATGCAGCTGCTGCCTGTATAAAGCTGACCCATTCCCCCAGAAGAGCTGCCTCACTCAAAGAAAAATTAGTCTCCAACTATATATAAATTCTGACATGCACAGGAGCACACACAAATGTCTAGTCTTTAAAAAGGCCCAGTAATAGTAACCTAAGCTCTGCACGTACATACTCAAATCTCTCCTACCCAAACCTTTAAGGATATGGAATATGTTTTAGGGTGGCTGTTTACTGACCAAGCATAAAGATGCTTCAAAATACGACGAAAGAATTGGAGCCACTGTTCATTTTGAGAAGGGACAAAGAGCTTATCTATGAATTTCAATAAATTCTGAACACTGTCACCATTTTCTAGAAGTGAAAAGGGAGGAGGAAACAGGAGTACAAATAATATGTGAGGGAAAGTTCATTTCTCACCTGCCTTTTGTAGGATTCTAGCTGTGCGCGGGCTGCATTTGCTTTCTTTAACTCTTCCTCTAGGCTAACTGTATTATGCATGTACATCATGTTTGTTTCCTGAAGAGATTTCACCTGCCTGCGGAAGTCATTCAGGTCCTCCAGTTTTTTACGATACACCTCAACAGTTGATTCCAGTTTATTTGCCTTGTCAGCAATTGTCCTGTAAAGCACAATCAAAGATAGGGCTTTCTTATCTCAGAAATATAAACTGGCTGTAGACAAGTTATTAAATTTTCTATTAAAAACTGTGTCTCTCACTACTCTTGGAAAACAAACCACAAAGGTGGCTAGCAAGTGGAATAAGATGCAATTTATCACACCAATTTCTGAAGTGTATTGCTTTTCAAAGAATACCAACCATGGGAGTAATGCAGCCTAACCCCTCAGCTGAGATTTCAAAAGTTCAGTATATGAGTGATAACTCCAAGCAGCATTTATGACGGGGATCAACATGTAAATCCTTACGCAAAATGCACTTAGTTCCAAGACACTACAGGTTTCTTTTATTGAAACAAACTACTTAAAAAAATCTAGAAGCCTTTTAACTTTTTTGAGGTGACCTCTCCAGACCAAAACATGCAGTATTCCTATGGGGTTCATAAGGAAGCCAACTGAAAAGGAGCTGCCGTATTTTTCGCTCCATAAGATGCACCTCTCCATAAGACGCACCAAATTTTTAGGAGAAGAAAACAGGAAAAAATAATCTGTTTTCTTCGCTCCATAAGACGCACAGACTTTCCACCCCTGTTTTGTGGGGGAAAGTGCGTCTTATAGAGCGAAAAATACGGTATATTTTAAAAACCTAAAGGGATGGATGTAAAGCATTAAACATATAACAGCTAAAATCCAACAGTAAGTCACAACTAAAGTAGGCCTGTGAATGAAAGGTACACAGGTGCTGACTCACAAATTCCCAATGATTCAAAGAGTTTGCTTTAGTTGCAACTTACTATCGGATTTCAGCCAATATAGTACATTCTAATTAAGGTAGCCAAAGAAATAGGTCAAATTCCTGGCACTTCTTTGTAAATGTTGCTAAGGCTGACAAAACTATACTAGAATAAGTAATACTTGATGCCCTTGTACTGAAAGTACAAAACATTCCAAGAAATGGTAAGAGAGAGTAGCATGGGTTGTTATTTGTATGTCTTCAAGCACAGAAATGATAAGTTGAGCAAATGATAAGTGGAGCAAATGATAAGTTGAGCATACCTAATGTTATAAAAACCATATTCCAATAGTTCTTACGCCACACATTAGGAACACGAAATTTTCTTCAGTAAGTTGCATACACCTATTAGTTCCACTTCAGTGTTGCATTATGACCTTAGATATGCAGGCGTCCTAGATCCTGATTCTGTTATAACTTGTGGAAACCCACTGAAAAGTGTATTTATATGTGTGTACAGTAGTGCCTCGCACTGCGACATTAATTCGTTCCGCAAAAATCTCTGCAGAACAAAAACGTCGCTATGCGATATTAAAAAGCCCATAGAAACACATTGAAACCCCTTCAATGCGTTCCTATGGGCCGGAAACTCACCGTTCAGCAAAGATGCTCCATAATGCGGCCATTTTCGCTGCCTCTTAAGTGAGAAATCCGTCCCTAAACACAGCGGGCGGCCATGTTTTTTTCCCAGCGGCCATTTTGAAACTGCCGATCAGCTGTGTGAAAATGGTCACTTTGCAATGCTCGGTTCCCCAAGCAGGGAACCAATCATCGCAAAGCGAAATTCCCCCATAGGGAACATCGCAAAGTGATCGCTTTTGCGATCGCAAAAAATGTGTTGCAAAGCAATTTCGTTGCTAAACGGAGCAGTCGCTATGCGAGGCACCACTGTATATATTGTATCCAGCTTTTCTAAAAGTGCTGGTCATGACTTTTAAACCCTTTATGGTTCAGGTCCAGGCTATATGAAAGAACACATCTCCCCGTATAAGCTCAAGATCCTGGCGGCAGTGACTTCTCCCAGACTCACCATTCTCAGACATACATCTGGTGAAGATCTGAGAGACGGCTTTTTCTGTGGCTGTTCCCACAGCCATAGCTGTGGCTCACATAAGGGAAGGGATTTATTTTAACCTTTTGCCCTATTTTCAACCAACCATAGAAAATCCTCCCTCCCTTTCTCTACATTCCCTTCCGGACTTTTCTGTCAAAAACGCCAAACTCTGAGATATTAGCAAAGTGACAGGATTTTTAATATTGAATGGCAACTTGACTCAAGTCATACCTAAGAACATCAATTTCATCTTTTAGGGCCCTAGATTCTTCAGCCAGAGATGTCAACTCATCATTTCGATGCTGAAGTTCTATTAGTTGTTTCTCAAGCTCTTCACAGTGAACACGATAATCATCTTTTGCAGCTTCAAGCCTATGCAAAGACAAAATGGGATGAATTGAGAGAGCTTCGTACTATTCTGCAAATATTAAACATTTGTGCTCATTTAGAGTACTGAACATTTATTTCAGATCTGCAAAGGTGGCACAAAAATAAGTGATGTTGTTTTAGCACAAAAAGAACATTGTCTTAATTCTTCATATATATATATGAAGAAATATATATATGAAGAATTATATATAAATTCAAGGCACAAATTAAATGTACACCATGGCTGCCCAGACCTAATTAATCACTATAACTTCAAAATCTACTTCTGTCATCTATCTTCTAGATTGATACGTAAACTTATCTTAATTAGATTATATAAATAACGGATAAAGAGAAAATACTAGAGTCTTTCGGCATGATAAAAAATTAAATGTCCAAGGCAAATGTCCAAGGCAATTAAATTAAAGAGAAGCAGTAAAAAAAGCCAATTAAAAATAGATGCACAACCAACAAATTTTTGTATTTAAGTTATATAGAGATTACACAAGAACATATAAATTAAAATATAATGCATTTAAATACATTTAAATATACTGTATTTTTCCATGTACAAAACAATATTTTCTCTAAATTCATTAAAGGGAAAATTGAGCATCATTTTATACACCAAAGGAGTTGGAGGCAAAGGAGCAGCCACACTCAAGTGCCTCTTATGGCTACCCACTGATTGCTGCCACCACCTCCAGATCGTCTCCTCCAGCGCCACCCGCAGGCTCCCTTTGGGCAGGGGGCAAGGTGTGATGTGAGCTGCAGGTCAGCCCTGGCACTGGAAGAGTTGATCGGGCGGCAGCAGTCAATGGGCAGCCACAAAGGACGGCCCAGCGTGGCTGCTCCTCCGCCACTTGCTGCTGTCACCACTGCCGCTGTCCGATTGTCTCCTCCAGCACCAGTGCCAGGGTCACCTCCAGCTCATGTCGCCACCTTGTCCCCTGCACAAAGGCAGCCTGCAAGTGGCACTGGAGGAGGTGATCCGCCAGCAGCAGCAGTCAATGGGCAGCTGCAAGAGGCAGCAGCAGGAGGTGGAGGAGCGGCCGCGCTGGGCAGCCCCTCACGGCTGCCCATTGACTGTTCCTCTGCCTCTGGCAAGGGTCAAAATTGGGGGCCGTCTTATACATTGGGGGGGTCGTATACATACAAAAATATAGTAAACGCCACACAAACTGAAAGCAACTAGAAAGTCATTACAATTCATTACAGCTACATACTGCAATAATTAGAAGAAGCAAGCATATAATAATAAGCATAACACAGACAGGAATCGCATCACCTTTCTCAACAGCTGGGAGGGAGGAAGTTTTATGCAATGCATCAAGAAAGTGCATAAAGCAAGTCCTGCAAACCTCTCTAGAGACTATGTTCCCTATTTCACCTGCAAATGTTGTGCAGGTATTCCTATGAGTCTCTGTGGAGTGTACTGCTCCCTAAGCAAGGCCTTTTCAGACAATGTTCACCAACAAGCAGCTCAATGTGAGAATAGGCATACCAGAATTCTGGCCCAGGCTGTTCTGGATTTTACAGACAACAATCAGCATTTCAAAGCAAACCTAAAAACCTGCAGGCAGGGAGTATCGCCATGCCAAAACTGGAGTAATATCAGCAGTTTACTTCTACTTTAAAAAAAGCAAGCACTCATGCTTTGCTTCAGTTATAGCATCCAAAAGTATAATTTAAAAATATGTGAAGTAATACATTACTGGGATTTATCAATTTAATAGATTGTATTAATCCACACCTGAAATTTTCTTCTTGAAGCTGTTCTAGCTGCAACTGTGCCTGGAAATACTTTTTTGCTACAGCAGTATTTGTATCATCCAGAGAGCCATCCAGCTGGTCCAACCTGTCATTCATGCTCTCATTTTCAGACATCAAACTGCTCTTTTCTTCCTGAAGAGCAGCCACCTAAAGATGCAGAATACACTTCAGGATTACAGGTCCAGGGAGACACCTGGTATAAATATTTCAATGATTCAACTACCAACTTAGAAAGCCTTATGCTAAACCAACGCCACATATTATTACATGGATTAGGGGAGCCTTCCATAAACCTGTCCACACTCCCAGTTGCTTTGGGCTACAAATTAAATCAATTTCAGCCAACAGTGGCAAAGATTGAGGGTGATGGGTCTAAATTTTACCTGGAGGGTGCTGGACTGAGGAAAACAAACTTAGGAGGGGAAAAGATATATATTTTTAAAGCACACAAATCTGGCAAAGTTTATATATTTTTGCTACCTGGTATTAAATTATAATAATTATGTGCCTATTTAAATTATTTTGAAATGAGGCCATTTTTTAACGTCAATAAACTTATTTTAACTTCGTGCTTAGGGTTTCAGGCTTAGGATGAACTCCAAGGATCATCTTCAGTTCAGGAGCTTCATTCAGCAGTCAGCGGTCAAACCTTGCACGGGTGCAAAAAGCATTACCACATGCAAGAACCCACAGATTTACTGCCTCACATGGTTCAGTTTCTAGTACTACTGTTTACAGATCTGCAAATGGAGCTATCAAGTCACTGTTTCTCGTCCACTTGCAACTCTTCACAACTTGGCCTGGCACATGTTAGGACCTGCCATGAATTCAAGGTGATCAGCCATGATGATGAAATGGAATCTCCAGCAAAAATGGCACAGTTTGGAAACATTCCTTTCTCTCGATTGCAGCTCCCAGAATCCAACCATTGCCAACTCAGCTGGTGGCCATTCTGGCTGAGGGATTAGGTAGGCTGTCATTCAGAAAAGCAAAATTTCCAGATTCTGGAAAGGGGCAGGCCATTACACAGTAACTATATTAGTTGCTAGTCACAACCAACAAAGGGAGGCCTTCGCTATCATATCCACCTTATGAATGTGCAGATTCACTGGCCCAGAGAAGCTTGGAACTTAATGCAGAACTAGATGGATGGTCTTATCCAATGACACACCTGATAAAAGAATGCAAGAACTGCCTTGCTAGACCAGACCAAGGTCCATCTAGATAAAGTTTCCAGTATATGAGGAGCCAGAAATAAAAGTTACACAGCAGGTGGAAGCCTTGATTAAAAACAAAGAAAATACTCCCCAGTTTATAAACTGAAGACAGAAGAACAATATTGCACTAGCACTCGTCAGTGAATGCTTTGGGCAAAAAGCAGTTCCATAAGTTAGCTTGCTTACTTATTTAAAATATTTATATTCTGCTTTTCTTCCCCCAGGGGACCCAAGGTGGCTCACGACAGATTTTAAAACACTATATAAATATCATATTCAAAAAGCAATTAAAAGGGGTTACAAAAAGCCAGAACTATAAAACAAAGCAACCACCTAGACAACATTATTTACAGAAGAACATGCATCTGCAATTTCTAAAAGAGTTGCTAGTTAAGAAACAGGAACATAACAGTCATAAAGAGGACAGAGATTAAGAGAACAGAGCCCTGAAGCTTTTTCTTCCTCCTAGTGAAAGCCACTGTGTTAATTTTAATATACCAAACATCAGAGCAGGTCACATGTTAGTTCACTGAAACTTAAGAGTGCAATGTGTGCTTTGGGTTACTTCTCCCTGAAACAAAAAGAAACCTACCTTTCTTAAATTCTTGTAAAGTATCATGGGAGACTGAGACCTTATAAGTGAATTTATTAACAATTAGTTTAAGCAAGAAGTTTAATTTTGTTGATTTTTCAAATAAACATGCATCTTCAGTACATCAAGGTGGCATTAATTTATTGAACCAAACAATCTTCTACATGTCTTACTGATCTGCAAGTATCAGACTGGATTCATGAGTATTATGTATTTAAATTTCTACTGGACATTTGCTGTAACCAATTAGAGGAGACTGCTCTTTGGGGAGAAAAAAAAACTACTCAGAAAGAGAAGAAGGAACCCATGCTTAATTCCATGCCTGTTTTTTCAGAAGTAAGTCTAAATTCCTAAGGCCCTACTAACATATTATGAAGTACGCAATGAATACTGAAGGGGGGGCATTGTGTGCCCCACAAACCTTTTCCTTGCTTGGCCCAAGTTCCTTTTTCCATGCCAAAAGGTACACCTTTTAATAAAGGAAATGGTATACATTTCCCATGAAGAAGGGCACAGTTAAGTGCCTTTGTCCCACTTAGGAAGTGTCAGGTTACTTTGCCAAAAAAAGTCCAACCACTCTAAAAAGTATTGAAAATATGCCTCTCAATACAGCTGCAGCAGTAATAAATATATGACAGAAAACTCCGTACTGAATTTACCTAATGAGAAATAAAATTCACCAGTGAATGTCTAACTGTACAATACTTTTCTTAAAAGAGAAGTGACTACGGTTGTCTAGAAGTAAATGAAGATTGTTCTACAGACCTTTTCTTCCCATTCAGCCATATACCAGACAAAACTCTAGTATATATTATAAAAATTTAAATACAAGGTCCCTGCGCAGTGAACACCACATATCCTAATTCGCAAAATGTGTAGAACAGTGAAACTACAACAGGAGGAAATAAGCTTGTTTTGAGGAATATATACTTTAATCTCTCTGTATGAATGCACTTGGAGCACAATAATGGGCAATGTGCTTACCTGCAGGTCTAATTCTTGACATCTCTGCTTTAGTTCTTCTTTTTCTGCTATTACTTCAGTAAGCTCTTCCAAAGCTCTTTTCAACTTTGTTGAAAAACGTTAAAATTCACATTTTCAATTATAAAAAACATACAGTTTGTAGCCATACAATCAGCAGCTTTGACCCTCCACCCTCCAAAAAATTATGGTCAGGTTTTCATTCAAGAAAACTGAGGAATTCTAAGTAAAGAGAAAGCTAGTCCTTAGAACTGTGATATTTCTACATGATAACCACAATGAAATCAGCCTCCTAGGAAAGCATTAACCCAAATTGCAAGTGTCTTCAAAATCAATCAGTTTGTTTTTTAGCTGTATTAGTTAATGCTAAAACAATGAGCATCAACACACAAGCCTTTGGGGGTGTGGGAAACCTTAAAACAGGAGTTGCCTTTCTTAGTAGTGTCTTACAGGTTGCATAGTCAAAAGGTCATTTCATCAAGTGACCACTTTGCTTCTGTCATTAGGCAGAAATGGCTACAAGCACATACTGATAAATTTACTAGTTGGAAGTCAATTATATTATAGTGGAATACATACCTGTTGCTCAAGATCCCCAGGTAAGTCACTTGCTACAAAGCCCACTATTTCTTTGCTCATTAACTACAACAGTGAAAACAAAAGCAGTTTAGATGCAATTATATATGCTCATAGATTTATTTATCTATGACAAAATTCATCTGTCTCAAACACTGTCCTCAACAGACTGAACTCAGAACAATGGTCTTTATGATGCAGGAGCCTTTTGCTATTGATCATATACGGTACAGCATACAGTACCTGGACACATGAAATTGAATTAGCTGCTATATAAGTAATCCTGCTTGACATTTAAAAAAATCCATTTTCCTTTTCCAGACAGCTGACTGGCATAAGCCAAATCAGTGTAGTACAATAAATGAATTGTTTTTTTGTTAAACAAAAGTACAATACAAATTGTGGGTAAAATCATGTTGCCTGACAAACAGGGACAGAGAGAAAGAAAAGCAAGAAGGTATGCCTGAATCTTGTGCAGATTTATTCAGAATCAAGCTTATCTGTCAGGGCATCTGCCACACTATTTTGCTCAAAGACTATATGATACCGGCATAATTTCAGAAAGGAATTTTGTGAGATAATGCAGGTTACTTGGATGTAAATTCTTCTGGCATCTCACAATGATGACTGCTTTCTGGCTTCTTAAGTTTGGTTATAGTTATTATTTTTTGTTATCTTAAAACCCAGATCAATGGAATCGAATGACTGGTTATTTCTAATAAAGTATTTCCCTAGTATTATGTTTTTATTTGTTCTAATTAGCAAATATTCATTGTTTATCAAGATATAAAGTAAAAAAAGGAATGTTTGTGCCTGGAAATGAAAACATCATTATTATTAGCTAGGCATTTGTGGTATATTTCACCATGTAAACTGGCTCACACAAAATCAAATCCAAAAACATCCGGTACAGGGTAAGACTGTGAACGCTACTGTGAACACTAACAAAGCACACCTTAACAGAGCAAGATGATTTAACACAGTGGTTCTTAACCTTTGTTACTCGGATGTTATGGCTCACACAAAATCAAATCCCAAAACATCCGGTATAGGGTAAGACTGTGAACGCTACTGTGAATGCTAACAAAGCACACCTTAACAGAGCAAGGTGATTTAACAGGATCTGGGAAGCTGAGAGCACTGCTGTCAGGACTGCCAGACTACATTTTGACTCCAGACTCCCAGCATAAGGCGGAATGATCGAAGTTGAAATACCAGACTGAGATGTTGCTACCCTCTCCAGAAATTAGTATCAACAACATATAATTAATGGTTCCAGTGGCAAAGAGAGCAGAAAAATAATGCAACAGCAGACATGGAAAGTGACTCTGATGGAGGAGCTTTCATAGACAATTCATGTGACACTGAAGTTAACTCTTGTAGATACTGCACGTAAAAGGCAATGGTAAATCACTGCTGAATAGTTACACTTCAAAAATCTTAGGCTGAGACAATCTAAAATGAAACAAGAGACATGTAAGACGAGACTCTCAGGCAAGAAGGCACTCGATCAGTTACTGGGGAAGAGCAAAAGGTTAATTATGAATAGTGCTGTTGCTAATGAAGCCAAAAAAAAAGCGCACATCTAGCCACAGAGGCAAAAGGGAAGTATGATGTTATGTGATGGATATAATTGGAAGATGCAATATGAGAAGAACACTACAACTGAAGTTTTCTTACCTCTTGAATAGCTGCCATGACAACGTGCTGGACAGATTCCTCTAATGTCATTATAACTTGAATATGTTCTACAAGGCAAAAAATATATATAATTATGAGTGGACTCAACGTCATTAGCGAGGGATACACTAAAGAAGATAAACTAAAATGGAGATGAATTGTTAGTTACAACTAACATTAGTCTCATAAACTTCAATGGGCATGGGGAGCTCATGGACTGGACTGGAGTGGAGGGTTCACACCTACATCTGGACTGGGGAGTGGATACCCTGATCATGAGCTGCCTATGTCAGTGGGTCTACTCTACATAATATGAATGGATTTAGCCCATTTCCCCCCAAAATTAATCAACTGTTTAGTATGCTCCCAGAAAATACAGAGCATGTTGCGAAAGACTGGGCTATATTATGGTATTTCAAGTTGTATTTCCATCAAAAAACTGTGCCATTGTATTGTGGGGTAAATGATTAAGCCACTTACCAATCCATGAAAGAAAAAGCTAGCACGTTTGGTTAAATACAATTTGTCATGTCATCTAGAACTGTTCTTTATGCTAACCACATAATTTATGCTAATTAAATTTCAAATAGTTTCATTTGCAACCATGGGTTATGAAACTAGCTTGCTGAAACTAACCATAGTACTAGCTGTGAGTTCAATTCCCCACTGTTCCTCCTTGACAGGGCTGGACCCGATGACCCACAGGGTCCCTCCCAGCTCTGTATTTCTAAGATTCTAAGATTCTAAACACAATCCCAAGTCCACATCACATGGTGAATGTCTCTTCAGATCATGTAGGAAAACAGGCGAGTAGGCACCCAAAAAGCTGAAGCTCACCATAATATATACAAATCACACAATGCTTTAGTTTATTGTAACATGTAAATATAGCCTAGGGGAGTAGGCACCCAAAGGGCTGAAGCTCACCATAATATATACAGTACAAATCACACAATGGTTTAGTTTATTGTAACATGTAAATATAGCCAAGTTTAGTTTGACTTTCGATCCTAAGACATCCAACCTGGACGTAATCAAATTTCAAAGAAACTTATCGCCAAGCAAATGTGGGACTGTACCCATGGCTTTACTTAGCTTCAGTTACTCTAATTACTATTACAGGTAGTATCCTAGTCCCAGTCTCAACTAGAATAGACTCACAGTATTGGTTGCTGAACAGTAAGTTAACATTTGTGTGGACATCTCCTCGAGTCGCTGACTGAATTCTTCTTCCATAACTTACAGTTGCTGATGATATCATCAGCTGCAACAATTTTTCAGAAAGAACACATTACTGATTTCCTCTCCAGAAGATCCCAAGACTCCCATCATCCTGACATTTTCAGTAATTTAAGATTCCCCACTCCTGTCTCCTATTTCCTCAACAGCTTCCAGACAAACAAAGAGATTTCATGATGGACGGGGTAGATTGGAAATGAGTCTACTACAGTTCGGACTGGCAATAGGATGCTCGCCTATTCATTACAAATACAGTCTTAACACATTACATTTGAAAACCACACAGGTAACAAAAAAAACCCCTCATAAAAATAAAATGAAAAACACGCCTGAGAACTCAGATAGTTACTTTAAATTTTTTTAATTATTCAAATTGTTTAAAAAGTGTTAGCTTATTGTGCATCGTAACTGACACAGAAAGGAGGAGGTGAATTGTCATTATCAGTTCAAACTACTTCACAGGTGCTCTGCACAATCTATTAATTGTTATGATTTGTAAAGCTCTGACAACTGCACGGGAATTGATGATTCTCTAGAAAAAATATTTACCTTGCTTTTTTTCACAGTTGACTGCACAACCTAAAATCAGCTGCAGTAACCTGCCCAGCTCTACTGGGTCAGAGTGCTCAGATATCCGGCTTAAATCAGGAAGGAGATCCTCTGAAATCTGCTGACCCAAAAACTACATAATTGAAAGAAAGATAATCCAAATAAAAATTCATTATGGAAACGGGAAAAAAAAACAAGTCCATGACATCACACATTCAATGGATTCGCTTTTTTTTAATCTGCCAGCAAGGGTCACTTTTTTGGTCAAGGATATGCCAAGACAAGTTTACAAGATCTACTGAAATATACTGGTCATATAGTATACAAATACATAACAACAAACAACAACTATGGAAAACTAGTATAGACTATACATACAGAAAAGCTGGACACTGATCTACCACCAGTCATTTACTGACAGTGGAAGGTAAGCAGGCAGGCCCAGTGTCAATTGTGAGGTACTCTAGAGAATGCCTAGCAACCAGTATGTCTTTAGACCAATGACATCCTATTGACCTTGACACTGGTAACTCTGCTGGAGAAGCAAGAGTGACTGCAACCTACTATCAGTCACAGTTAAGGCAGGTTCATTTGATTCAATGGAGCTTCTGGAGAAATTGACTCATGAAATTCCCAGTGATTCAATGGGCCTACTCTAGAGCAATTTACTAAGCAACAGGATTTTGACCATTGCCTCATAAATCCCTAATGAATCGATTAGATGAAGTTAACACAGTAAAACTACTTTTCTAGTTGGTCACAACCCAAGTTACAAATAACCCAACCCAAACAAGTTTCATAAATACTTATTTCTTATACAAGATTTCCCCACAGCTAAAATATTCTAAGCACATTAAAAAAAGATGAAATATAAAATCACAATAAAATAGCACAAGATAAAATTATCAGCAAGGGAGAGAAACATTGCAAAACACAATAAAACCACATCAAAAAATTTACCAGCAAAAAAATTAGAATACTGCAGAGGATTAAAAGTATTACAAGAGATTCTTTAAAAATCTGGGGCAACAACAGCAAAAAGGCTCCAACAGATACCATAAAGTTGGCACCAGAGGAGTATCTCTGAGGAGGGCATTCCACAGATGGTATTCCCCCACTGAAAAGGCCCCCTCTTATAAAGTAACTCACAGCACACATGATGGGGGCGACTGGAAAAAGGCCCTGGACAATGATCTTAGGATCCAGGTAGACAAACACATATGTAATATTTTGCATATGCAACAAAGAATCACAGTCTAGTTGATTATAGACTAATCAATGGCCAAATATTCAACGCACTAAGATTCTGGCTTTGATGACAGTGGAAGAAAGTGACATTCTAATTACTGCTAGGGGGTTTCATACCTCATGATAATAGTCCATAATTCCTTGAAGAACTTTCTTCAAATTGCTAGCCTATGAACGTATAGAAGAAAAGTGTGATTGTCAGGTAAACATTTTTACTGCTGAAACAGCACCCAATTTCTCACATGATGTTTACTGAACAGTATAACATATATTAACATGACATATTCTGCCTGATGCTGCTACATACTGCTAAAAACCAGTACTCCTACAATTAAATGATATCATCTTCAGCTGAAAGCAAATGTTGCTTCAAAAATTCCTTTCAAAGAATGCTTGAATTCTTTAAGGCTGAGAGGGTGGAAGAAGGGCATAATCTTAGATACTCCTCAAAGATACAAGGAAACCTTTACAAAAGCACAGACAGGAGCTTTGGTGTAACCAGTCTCGGATCCAGAATCTGGATTGCTTATTCAAGTTTTCAACAGTGTAAAATACATTTATTTGTAAAACATTACACCCCATAAAGCTGAAGTTTTGAAATCTTGCAGACATGTTTTCCATTACCTTTATTCTCCAGTTGTCACCAACATCTTCTTTAATACGATTCAGCCAAGGTTTGTCAAACCAGGCAGCATCGCTAGGATAAAGTTAGTTTACATGTGTTAACTGCTAAAAAAAAAACTATTGAGGTAAGCTAAACTCCAGTCTTATTTCTGTCTGAAAGCTTACAGGCAAAGTATAAAGCAAAAATACATCAGGTTGAAGCTAATAGCTTCCCTCCTCTCATGGAACCCTCTCTGAAACCTCAGATACTTCTGTCAACATAATGAGAAAGGAGTAGATTTTTGATGCCCCTGACAATCCACCACCAGCAGCAGCTCCTTAGCTTCTTCCCATTCTGCTCTAAAGGATCGCCATCTTTCTGGAATGGATTTGTGAGGGGCACACAGAACTTTGGGGGTGGGGGGGAAAGGCAAATAAACATCTCCTCTAAACATGGGGATGAATAAAAAATGAATCACGATAATTGATAAAAATCGCTGATTCCTTAAATATTCGTCCCTTCATATTCATCAGTTCCAGAGATCCCAACAAATATGGAGGAATGAATATTGTTCCATTTTTATTCATCCCCCCATAGGAAGAGAGAGAAGGCTAGCTTTTCCTCTCTTCCTATGGCCTTCCCTTTCTGCCTATGGGCCGATAGGCAGCCAGCCCCACAGCCTATGTCCAACCCCCTTCCTCTTCCTACCTTAGCACTGCCACCATCCGCCACCGCCAGGAGCTGCCATCATCCATCACCACCGCCACAGTCTCCAGCTGGCTTCTGCAGCCACGGCCTGCAGAAAGGGACACTGGCTGTCTTTTGCAAAGATGGTGGCTGCAGCTTCATTTAAAGTAGGGAAACTGCAGCCTCTAACTTTGCAAAGGGCAGCCTGGATTCCCTTAGCCTGCGGCGCAGCAGCGGCCGCCAAGGTAGGGAGGCAACAGGGGCAGGGGGGCAGGCTGTGGGGGCTTGGGGGTCAGCTGACAAATACGTTCGTGCTTCATCGATTCATGGGGGAGGAGCTTCCTGCTTCGTGAACTTTGATGGATCACATAGCAGGACGACTCGCCAAAATAGTGAGTTGCAGGCTGCGGGGGCTTGGGGGTCAGCTGACAAATACGTGCTTCATCGGTTCATGGGGGAGGAGCTTCCTGCTTTGTGAACTTTGACGGACCACAAAGCAGAACGACTCATCAAAATAGTGAGTTGTCCCCATCTCTAATCTCCTCCCTTCTCATTCTACTGATGAAAGCCACATCTCTAATCTCTTCCCTTCTCATTCTACTGATGAAAGCCACCACTACATCAAAAAGTCTTCCACCAGTTGAGACACCAACCAGATATACTGATCTTTCACAAATACAATATATACAATCAAAATTTCAATCATCAGTTTACATGTATTTTTTAAAATCTTTTGCTTTTGTAACTCTATTTAACACATCATTTCTCTGCAAGATAAACTAATATACTGATTCTCAAACTGGAATGTGGGAGGGCTTGAGGAAATTCCAAGGGGATGTGAGACTGTGAGAATTATATTAAGTAATTTTTATCAGCTGAAACAAATGTTTTATTTTAAAATTTCCTATCAAGAAATTTATCTTTAACCATGTAAGGAATAATGCTTCATGCAACATCATGCTTCGCATTAAATCCATTTTGTTTCTGCTATTTCTTAAGGTACATTTCATTTTTAGTATGTTTTTGTGTCAAAACAACTACTAATGTTTCTAATTATATAGTTCTATAAAGTTTTGGTTTTTTTTAACATTTATGAATGTGTTTATTTTAAATGGGGTTGGCTGATGGCAAAGGAGGTATGAGAGTTTCCCAAAAATAAAAGTGGGGAAATGCTGAAACTGCTGAGCTGATACAAGCCAGGTATGTTGTGAAGTAAGAATAGCTGGGTAGCTATAGTGACAACAGACCTAAGGAGCAATTAAAAGGGCACAGTGTATCTGACCTTAATACAGTATTTATACATGCAACATGGAATCTGCAAGACGTTATTACACTTATCTTCCAACAGAATAAAAGCAGCACTTTTATTGTTTTTTCCATGGACTAGGATTGGTTTGTTTCAGAAGAACCATAAAAAACCTATCTAAGAATAAAATTTTAATGATTAGTGATTTAAGTACCATTCTTATTAATTTACAGGATATTTCTTCTATCTGCTCATAATACAAATTACAAGATCCAAAATGTTGAAGTTTTGAGTACCTGGATGTGTTGTGAACGATTTATTACAAATGCAAGCATAAAAATGTATCTATATTTGGTTGGCATATACTTCAAGTGTGTATTTGTACACTTTGGTTAATTGTGCATACTTATCAGCAAATTAAAAAATAACCTGATATGGTGAACAAAAGAAATATGATATATACATTAAACTAACTTACATTTCATGAAGTACTTGTGCCATGGCAACACCATTAGTTAAGTCTTGAACATCTTTGCAGGACTGAGCAGTATTAAATGTCTGCAACTAAAAGGAAGCATGAATAAATAAACCCCTTTCTATCTCAATTCATTTAGGATAAGAAAATCATTTCTGTCAACCATGCACAGAAAAATATATAACAACTAAAACCCCATCATCAGCATATATCTGTGTATCACAGCCACAGTAGGTTTGCTAAGCCTGGAAAGAACTTTTTCTGAACCCAGTCAAGAATTAATGAGTATTATCTCTATTTATTATTTGTTCATTTAAAATATTTCTAGGGCGCCTGTAACGGCAGAAGCCCATACATTAAAGCAGCAGCAAAAACAAAACAAGCACTAGCAATGAAATATTGATAAAGAACAGAATACAATGGCAAGTAAAAAAAGGAAAATAATCCAATAAAACACAGTGGCCAGGATCCTACTAGTGAAAGCATTACGTTTTGTGCAGCTTGCCGCAGCTAACTGATAAGGAGCTGGCACATGTCTCAGTGGCATGCCTGGCCACACACCTGACTATGCAACTGACATGTGCCCCAGCATTTCATCAGTTAGTCACTACCAGTCATTGCACTTATGCAAATGTCATGCAAACATCAGTAGGATTCCAGCCCTTCAGTGAATTGTAAAAGATAATAGGTGGGTCTAGGAGGGCGGGGGAGGGGGTCTCTTAAAGCTTGAGCAATGGAGTCTGAAAAACACCAGACAACAACCTGAGGTGTGGGAAAAAGATCCTCCTTCATAAACATTCCCACCTAAATTTGTTCAAAAGATAAGGAAGTTAGAACGGCCTTTGCTGCTGATTTTAATGTGGAAAAGCTGATATAGGCAAAGGTAGTAAATCATTTAAACTTTAAAGGTTAAAACCCTGAGATTTCTCAATAGGTTTTATGGATGTCATATGGCCTGATAGCCAAAATCTTCCCAATATTCGGGTTTCTATTTTCTGTGCCAGCTGAAGTTTCTAATATGTTTAGAGGCAGCCCATTTGGTTAAGGCATATTATAGGAGTGAGCTTCAAATGGGTTTCCATTTTGCATTAAAGGGAAATACAGTACTGTACTAATCTCTTATGGCTGGACTGGTGTAAGGGTTACTTCAATAACTGAAGCATTCTGAACAGTCCCAAGTAATATAGACAGACCTACTGTTATGAGCAGAGTAGAATATTTCTAATTGCAAAGAAATCAGAGCATTCTGTACACAGAGTTGTAGCTTATGTAAAAGCAAAGTATCCAGTACAAGAATTCTGTCACTCATGAATTGCAAAAGATAGCTATGCTGCATTTCTGAACATACCTGTACATTTCAAGGTTGAATAATCTATGAAAGGGTGTTGCAAGATACTACAGCTATATGAATCATATCAAGTCATATGTGAGTCAACTGTTCTAACCAGAGTGGATAAAAATCAATGATTTTTTTAAAAAATCAAATTGACTTCTGTCATGATTTATATCATAAATTTATTTTTATTTAAATTGTTAAAATCTGATTTTCAAAATTTAAATCATGATTTAAATAAATTAAATGGTTCTAACCCTACATTTCTAGGTCTAAATCCCACATTCTATTGGGATTGCAACTGAACTTCTCTTCTCCAGCCCTCTGGACAACCTGAAAACCATCTATGGGGTTCCTCCCCCCCCCCAAGAACTCCAGATCCAAATCTGAGGGTACAAGGGGGGTTGCAATGCACCAGATTGCCTCCCCCAGTTCCTTTGAATTGTGCTGTTCCAACAGCCCAATAATCAACACTAGGCACTGGTTTTAGTGTCTTTGCTACGCATTTTCCCATTCAATGGCATTTTCATACACTGAAGAGATATCCAGCTTCCAACTTCAAATATGGGGACTATCTTGGAGAAAGGCAGCAACTGGTCATACACAAAATCTACAGCTCATGCTGGTATTGCCAGATGTTGGCCAGGAGGCATAAAAAGAAACTGGAGTAAACCAGAAGTAAGGTATAAATCCCACAAGGAGCCTCGTGGTGCAGTGGTTAAACTGCTGTACTTTACCCAAAACTGTGCTCGCAACCCCGGGTTCAATCCTGGGTAGCCGGCTTAAGGTTGACTCAGTCTTCTATTCTTCCCTGGTTGGTAAAATGCTTGCGGGGGGGAGGGGGAGATGTTTAGCCTGCATAATTAACTTGTAAACTGCCCAGAGAGTGAGTGCTGTAAGCACTATGGGGCGGTATATAAGTACATAGCACGCTTTGCTTTTTTGCTTTTTACATGTCATTTCCTATCTTTCTTGAAGCATGGAAAGGGCAGTTTACTGTACCCATATTTACTCAGAGGTCAGCCCCAGAGCCTTCAATGGGGCTTTATCCCAATGACTGGATGCTGCTCATCAATAGGAAAGCTAATCTGGGATATACAGTATATAGAGAATGGTTTGTATGGAACTATTCCCTTTGAAAAATCCCTGTTCATGCTCTTTCATCTGGCTTTGCTATGTGTTCCAGATGGCTGCCACAGCAAGAAGCAGGAGTTTGCAGAGCTTCAGTTGGAGCACCAGCAACACACTTTAAAAAGCAGAATTGGTTACATCCAGGCAGGATTATTACAACATGCTTTAGGTGGGGCTGTCCTTAAGAAATTTTCAGAAATTTCAACTTTTTTTAAAAAAAAAAAGCTGTCAGAATGTTGGCCAGCATTTCCATTATGCAGTGTATATTACTCTGATGTTCTGTGAACTATATTTGTTTCCACTTCCAGACATATTTTGAAATGTTAGAGTGGAATCCTGTTCATCTATTCACACAATGGGCTGATGTGCAAATAGAGTGACATTTGCTGAGAATACAGTGATACCTCCTTGTTGAAGTGTAAGCTCCATCCTTTCTAATGGAGTGATCCAACACAAGGCAAGATCCCAAAGAATGTCAGGGCCAGGGTATAATGGTCTGACACTGAAGGAACAGTATTCAGGCTCTAGTGACTACCTGTAAAGTCCCAAATGATCTGGGTGTAGATTATTTGAAGGACTGTTTGTTCTCATATATCTTCCACATGAATCTGCTCATTCTTTACAATTTGCATCAGAGTCCTTTCTCCATGCCATTTTGCCTTCAAAGAAAGAATCAACTGGAAAATATGACAGAGCTTTTTCAGAAGTGTCACTTAGTAGACATCCTTCGGTCTCGTGAGACCATGGCAACGTGCTCTGAATAGAGGTCTTGGAACAGTGTCTAGTGTGGCTGAGAAGGCCAATTTGAGAGTGGCAATCCCTTCCACACTGAAGACAAAAACTGTACAATCTGTCCTTTGTCCAGCTCCCTGATTTTGCTGGTTTCAGGACTGCTTCTTTGCCTCAGCCTGCTGAACAAGTGTCTCTTCAAATTGGAAGAGGCCGTGATGCATCGCCTGCCTCCAGGCCGAACGCTCAGATGTCCAAGGTTTCCCATCTTTTGAGGTCCATTCCTAAGGCCTTCAGATCCTGCTTACAAATAGATACTCTTGTACTGCAGCTGTGGTCTTCCTCTGGGGCACTTTCCCTATACTAATTCTCCATTCAGGAGATCTTTTGGAATCCATTCAGGAGATCTTTTGGAAGTGTCACTAAAGCTATGGATTACCCTTCTTTGCAGAGCTTGGCTGATTCTTTCTTTAAACCTTTAGATCAAGCCAAGGTTCCCTCTAAGGGCTGTGCAAATGTGTGTGACTCCAGCTCCCTCTGTGCAGCGTTCTTCCTCTGCCATGCACCCACAGCCATCCTTTCTAGTCTTTTTGGTTCTGGTTGTGATGGAACTCTGCCTGGGGGTTAGAGTCATGCAGGAGGTGCAGTCGCATGCACAAGGGGCACAGCGCCACCCAGTGGGGCTGAAAATGAGAGGGAACTGAGGGCTGCATGAATGGGATTCATCTGTTGGGGTAAGTACGCTGGCAAGGAGCAGGACCACAGACAAATGTGAGGAGTTAGGACAACAACCAGAGGTTGCCCACTGTTGCTTCAGTGGGATCAAGCAGGCCAAAATATGCTTGCTCATTTTCTAGACTTCAGTCTTGTTTTAATGTTGTACCCACCTGCTACAAATTCAATATATATACTTAATGCTCAGTTCTTTTATTCTCTTCAGTTCTTTTTTTTGTATTATTTTGATTTTACTAGCCAGAATCCCACCAGTATAACTGCATCAGCATAAATTTCAGCCATAAATAATATACATAATGCTCAGTTCTTTTATTCTCTTCAGTTCTTTTTTTTGTATTATTTTGATTTTACTAGCCAGAATCCCACCAGTATAACTGCATCAGCATAAATTTCAGCCATAAATAATGAAGTAGCATCAAACGTTTAGCATCAAACATCAGTTAATGTGTCTTGGTATGTGACAGCAAATGTGTACATTGACTTCTTAACTTATGGCAATTTGGTGCTGAAATTTATGGGGTTATGCTGGCATAAATATGTAATACAATTCCAGCTATTATATATGTTTGTTTTGTTTAGAAAAAGAATTATGTTGCATACTTGCATAACTCTTATACCCAAAAAGGGCATACTTCTTCTCTAAACAAAGCTGCACTATATATCTCTACTCAAAAATAAGCCCTCATAAGTTCAACCAGCCTTACTCCTAAATGACTGAGTATACAACTGCAACCTCAGGGAACCCTACAACAGCAGTAACGTGTTATATAAGTGAGTGTCTCCTTTAATAGAAGTAGCTAATTAGGATTAGGAAACAGAGTTATTTGCTAAGAGCAGCACAGCTCATCTACTACGTTGCATTGTAAACATTAACGAGCTGACTTACCTCAAAACACCTTATAGGTGTAACAGAAAAAGAACAAAAATTTAATTTGATAACATACTCTTCAGCTATAACCATTCATAAATAAAGAACATGTTATCTTGTTCTTTTGTTCCAGAATGACTCGTACAAAAGAATGTAAATCAGAATATTCTATTTTTATTAGAAAAAGGAAAAAAACTGCATTTGGTCACTGCTGGAAGTTTATTTCTAGTTTCATAGAATAAATATGAGAAAGCTTTACAGGACATAAATACTGCTGTATCTGGGCCATAGTGTATTGACGAGTAAATCCCCAATGGCATTATCAGTGCATTTATGTTTTAAAAATAAATACCAATAGCTTTTATATAGCAGTAATCTATTTAACATCAGAAACAGAATCGGAAGATAGCTACTTTGAAACAATGGCTGGAATCCAGTTGGCACAGGTTATACCACGCAACTCTAGTGACATCATCAGTTGCCGCTGTTTCAAGGAAATTAAAAGCCTCTCATTCCCCCTGCAAGTTCTAGGAATTCCATTTCTCCTAAGAAGCCTTTAGGAACTGCAGAACAAGGTAGGGAATGGTTTAAAGCTGGAAAAATGCCACCATCAGTCCCAGTCCTGCTGCTGTGAGTGTTGGTGGTGATTTGCCAGCTTTACATCAACTTTTAAAAACTCTATTACAGGGCATCAAACTTTACTGACAATTACGAACCTGTGCAGATAAAGGGAATAAATAAAATAATTTGCTCAGGACTCCCACTGAGTTTAGTGGGGAAAATCAGTGTGCAAAAGACTGCAACTCTAATTTTTCTTTACAGCATCTGGCTTACTTTCCCTGCCTTTTTGGGGGTGCTGTTCTTGGTACACAATGCCAACTTCACCTTCATATGGCTCACTGTATTAGAATCATCCATGGTCCATTAAATTTGGTGTTAGATTTATAGATTAAGATACACAATATCTCCATAGTTAAGAGTAATCCGCATTATAAATCTGAATATGAGTTAAGAATGTAAGTACTGCCCTGCAGGATCTATCTATTTACTGTACACTTGTATCAGTTGGAGAGTGATATGTTCTCCAATGTATAACAATCTATCAATTAACCTGGATTACACCCTATATTTTTATTCTGCCCCATCTTGCACTTGTATACCTTCATAATATTGTTTGTTCTTGGGCACTCAAGCATGATTCAGTTTTTGCTGGCCTTCTAAATCCTAAGTCTTCAGCCCAATTAAAATGGTCATTCACTAATATTGGTTACTTCTTTTTAATTATCTAGCTTTGTTCCTATGTAGAAAAAAACATGGGTTGAATGTGATGATCCACAAGAACATGGACTGCAGAACTAACCCTAAAACATATAAAAAAGAAGAAGAAGAAAAGAAAAAAAGAAAATATTGGTTACTCCTTTTTAATTATCTAGCTTTGTTCCTATTTAGAAGAAAACATGGGTTAAATGTGACGATCCACAAGAACATGAACTGCAGAACTAACCCTAAAACATATTAAAAAGAAGAAGAAAAGAAAAAAGATATTTGCTTTCAGAAAAGTACAAAGCTGGGAAAGGGAAATTTACTGCAGTTTTTGGTATGGTATGTACAGAAATGATGTATCAAAGTGTTTACTGTGACGGGTATCAATTAAATATGAATATGTATTAAACTGTTCATGATAAATACATCTTCTGTGTTTGCAGCAATCTACCAAATAATTCATTGCAATATAAAACACTTTACTAAGAAGAATTAAGGTGGCACAGACTGAATTAAGATATGGCTGTAAATACTGCTCATCTTTACAAACCAGCACTTCAGAGAATAACTGAAAAACATGAAACAATCTACACAAAGCAGTAAGAAATACTGATTCCTTCTGATAGCAGAGCAAACAGCACTGTGCTGATCAGTACAGCAATAAAATGGGGTCATCCAGAAATAGAGATGGCTTGTGCATACTTAGGACTACTCCAGATTTGCAAACAAATATTGGAGTATAAAGTAGGGACAAATATTGGAGTATAAAGTAAGGAATATATTATGTGTATTAAAATACTATCTACAATGTATGCCAGTTCTAATCAGTAGATTTGCAAGTGTGTTGCAGTTGTTTACTTTTTATAATACCTTCTTTTGGTTTGGTCTGTGTCAACACGAACTCACAAAAGACTCACAAAAAGCATACTAAAATATTGTTGTAGGATATCTAAAAACTAGAGTTCACTTGAACTCTTTCCTTTTGCCCAAACTTTGGTTTCCTTGCAACAAAATATAACTCTAAAACATTTGTTATTTACAGACTTACAAGGATAAACCTAATTGTTATATATTTTATGTTGAAGAACTTATAACAATGGTTTCGGCTACCTGTTATGGATAAACAAGTTACTTATTTGTTTGCCTCAGTAATTAATCAAATCTGACACAAGTTTGTGTGATTTATTGCTGTTCCCTGCCACATAAACCATTTAATATAAACTGCTATTTTCAGCAAAACTGAAACTGTGTTTAATACAAACTCATTATCATTATGCACCTTTGATTATGCAGATATCTTCTTCATTCATTTTACTGGATGACCACCTTTCACTTTGAACAAATAATAAAAAAGCCAACTGAACACAACTTCTTCATTACATGCTAGAATGCAGTGGAAGTTCTCCTAAAAGCAGGTTCCTTAGCAACATGCATAATTGGAGTGAACTGTTTTTATCATAACAAGCAAACAAAAAACAAAAACAAAACATGTAAAGCAACTAATTTGCTGTCCTCAGCATATTTACTTTAACTTACAGGGAAAAACATCCAAATGCATGCCTAGGGGATCAAGCAGCCTGACCACAATATTTGGGAGGAAATGTTATTGAGTTCAGGAGAACATGCATCTATTGCTGGATTAAACAGCATGTCAGATAGATTCAGGAAAACATGCATCTACTGTATTGCTGGATTAAACAGCATGTCAGATAGCTTATTTTTTTACTTAAAATCAGATGTCCCTTCAGATTAATCAAAACAATCTAAATGTTATTTATTTCCTGTCAGTGCTGAATGCTAACACTGCAAGCAAAGATTTCTAATTACTTCCACCCACTCAGTGGCATTTTACAGAAGATGGGAAACCTACAACATTCTGAAGGGCTGCAAATTTTCCCCTATTTCTGGTTTTCTAAGCTTCAGGTCAAGAAACATTATATGCTATGCAAATTATTAAGTCTTCATATGTTAACTCCCATCTGATATACTCTTCAGTACCAAACATTTGATATGGCAGGTCATACATAGTACAAGGTTCATAGTTTCAAAGCAAGTCATAACTTGCAGCCCAACCCTACGAGGCTTACATACTGTAAATAATTTGTTCAGAAGTATATGCCATAGATTCGAATGTACTTATTCTCAAATAAGTGAGCATAAATGTTCAGGGCAAACTCAAGCCCTCTGAATTCACCTAATTTGTACAAAACCCTAAGGCATAAACATGGTACTCATAAGAACTTAAGAATGAAGTCCTGCTGTTATCAATCCAAAGATGTATTCGTTTTCCTAGAGACCAACCAAGTGCCTAAAACATTCCAGGTAAGAATTCTGAATGGCAAAGCAATCTAAAGGGAGAGAATTTATTAAGGAAAATGAACACACTTCACAGGTTAAATTCGCCTTGAGAGATCAGCAGATATCATTTGAAGCATATACTGATTGAAATGCATATCTGATTTCTCTTGACAGTCACACACAGACAGCGCTTCCAGATGAGGCTTTTACTGCACAGTTGACCTGCTTGATGCACAGAATTTTATGTGATGGGGGAGAGGGTAGAAAGTGTCATTTTATGTCTGTAATCCTTCATTGTTTTCCATTACTACTTCCACCTTTTTCCCCGACCACAAAAATATGCTAAGGAGTGAAAGATAGAAGAACACAACATCATCTTTGGATTATCAGGCACAAACATATCCATCCACAGCCTTCCCGACCTCCTGCACGGGAAAGGGGGCACAAGATGGGAGTCTCTAGCAGACAGATAAGGGATGATCACCCTGACAGGTAGTCAGTTGAGCACAACATACGGATGGGCTTGTAACAATAACAAGGAAAGCAATGTTACAACTCGCTGAGAACAGCAAATTTAATATAGATGCAATTGCAATCCCGAGATGAGTAAACAGGTGGTATAAAGGCACAGAACAAAAATCAAGCAGGATGTAATGCAAACATTTAGACTTCCACGGAAACCTGTAAGGCTGTTACAGTGTCGTAGCCACCCTATGGGGTGCCTGACTTAAATCACCTCCCTGGACACAGAGAGCCTCGGGCAGGAGCCAGGGAGGGTGTGCAAAAAAGACAACATCCCGGAGAAGACCCAGCACGTGCGTGCGATCCCAGTACTCCATATTGGATTCACAGCCCGTCTCCTCGGAAGGCAGCGCCCGCTTCTGCTCAGGGCCACCCACTCCCCGGGGTAAGGGCGACCCACTTTGCTCCAGTGGGAGGGACTCTCTCGCTGGCCTCGGGCGCCTGAGTCTCCGGGGACGGCCGGAAAGGTGAGCGACCGAGAGGAGGCTGCAACGCGGGGACACACAGGCTGCTTATGGGGGCGGACGGGGGTCTCCCGCCTCCGGTCTCAAATGCAACCCCAGGAAATGGGTGGGCAGACCCTCTCCCTCCTTCCCCTTCTCCTTCCAGCCTCCGGGACCGCTTACCCAGAGAATGAGGCTGTCGCACAGCAGCTGGTCGCCGGGTTTCCCTTCCATGGCTACCGCAAACACTTCCTCACTCCGCAGCAGCAGCGCCGCTGCGCTCTCCTGCGGAACGCACAATGCACCAACCACACTTACGCCCACAACAATACGCAGGTTACGTGGCCGCCGCCGCCGCCGCTTGTGTCACCTTAATATTGACACCCATCTCGCCATCTGCCTTGTCCCTGAGGGGCCTTTTCGGTGCTTGACGCGAGCGCCGCCCAATCACAGGCCAGAGAATCGAGGCCAGCCTTGCCCATTTAGACCGCGTAACAAAGCAGTCGGCCCAATCAAGCAGGTGGCCGCCGGTGGATTGCGAGGCGGGGAGAGCAGCGGGAGGAAATGTTTGTAATGGCGCCCCCTACAGGAAGCATGGAGAATTGGCTGAGCCACAAAGCCGTGTTTTATGACCCCGTTGAGTGGGAAGACGCGCTCCTCTTAGTCATAGCTGTCATATATAAAACATCAAGTGCCGGATTAACTGGGTGTTCCACCTTCCCGACTCGTTTTTCCTGTTTTTCTCTATACGATGTCTGTTGCTGGGCAGGATGCAGGTTTCTCAACTCCCAACACCTCGTCACAAAGCCCGTCTCTGCATATTTACCTGGAATTCAATCCTACCATCTCTGTTTATTATTATTATTTATTCACAGATTTATGCTTTGCCTTTCTCCTTTATATAAAGGACTCAAGGCGGTTTACAGCATCTAAAAATCAAGCATATCAAAACATAATAAATAAATCATTAAAAATAATTTGCCAAACAAGAATTGAAACGTATTAAAACGTGCTACCCTGTGTTGTATTATGGAACAAGCCAGAAAGTTCCAGAAGAACATCTACTTCTGCTTCATTGACTATGCAAAAGCCTTTGACTGTGTGGACCACAGCAAACTATGGCAAGTTCTTAAAGAAATGGGAGTGCCTGACCACCTTATCTATCTCCTGAAAATCTGTATTTGGGACAAGAAGCAAAAGTTAGAACTGGACAGCTGATTGGTTCAAAATTGGGAAAGGAGTAGACAATACTGCATATTGTCTCCCTGCTTATTTAATTTATATGGAGAATACAGCATACAAAAGGGTGGACTGGATGAATCCCAAACCGGAATTAAGATTGCTGGAAGAAATATCAACAACCTCAGATATGCAGATGATACCACTCTGATGGCAGAAAGTCAGGAGGAATTAAAGAACCTCTTAATGTGGATGAAAGAGGAGAGCACCAAAAATGGCCTGAAGCTCAACATAAAAAAAACGCCTAAGATCATGGCCACTGGTCCCATCACTTCCTGGCAAATAGAAGGGGTCATATGTAAAATATTTTCACTTCCCCTTACCCTCTGCAGATGGTCAGGGGAAGCATTTAATTGACAGGGAGAAGCAAAGTGCTGTTTGGATGGGAGGCGCATTCCATATGGCATGCCAAACTCAGCCAGTCTTTTTAAACCCAATCTAGCCCACACCAAAACAGCAAGTCTGGGCAGGCCCTTTCTGTTATTTTTAAAAAGTGGCAGCTATGTTAGTCTATTTCACATGGAAAATGTCTCATGTTACTCTGAAAACTAGCAGATTTATTGTGTTGTGAATTTTCATGGATTGCAATACAGTGGACCCTCGACTTACAGACGGCTCGACTTACAGACTTTTCGAGTTACAGACTTCTCTGGCTGCAAAAGTTAGATTCGACTTACAGACCAGAAAAACCCCAAAATGGAACAAATATAGAATAAAAACCGCGGGTTATGGGATTAATCGGTTTTCAATGCATTGTAGGTCAATAGAGATTCGACCTACAGACTTTTCGACTTGCAGACACCATTCCAATACGGATTAATTCCGTCAATAAAACGTGTTAACAGAGCTTAACATGTGCATGGGGTTGCAGCCCCTTGCTTCTATTTTTGCTTCTACCGCCACAGCAGTTCTAGCATTTTGTATCGAAGCAAGTGCATAAGGAAAATTAACTCCCCTGGAGCAACAAGGATCCTTCTGTCTCCTTTCATTCAACTGCTGATATGCTGCAGTCATGTTCATTTGGGATGGCTGATCTGGGACAGTGTGGGTAGGATTTTTAGCTGTGTACTGACAGCTTACATTGAGTTCAAAATGAGCTGTGTGCACCCTCAAGTCTTTCAAAACTAGGCCATCATGGGGCTGAAGTTAAATAACCAAGGTGCTCTCAGTGATTACCATGAAAGATGTACAAGACTGTGTTTCAGATGGGTATATGGATCCCTGTTGGCATGGTTTGGATTGAACCAAATGATGGTGTCCACACCTGCTTCCTTTAGATTGACCTGTCTTTCCCCTTTGAGAGCAGTTCTGTATGTTTCTGAACCCCTGTCAGGAGGTTCTCCTATTCTGGTGCGGTGCGGAAGGCTTGAATAAAGTCCATTCCTAATGTGTGTGGCCACCTGGAATGGACTGAAGAGCCTTGCAGCTCCTTCCAGTATCATTTCTGGTCCCCTGAAGTGTTTCGCAAGCCACTTCAGGATATCAGAAATTGAATACTTCCCCTAATTGTTTGCGGACAGCCAGGGGAAGTGAAATTATTATTATTATTTTACATCTGCAAAATCCTTACTGAAGTGATGCATCACTTCTGTTAAATTATTATTTTTTCTTTACCTGTCTGTATATTGCTGATCAAGAAACTACCCACAGTTTTCACTTCTCCCTACCTTCCTCTCTTTCCCTCTCTCTCTACAACTTTTCAAGGTCTATTTATAACCTGCTGTGGCAAAGAGTCAGACAACAGAAGCTGAATCTCCCACTAACACTCACACCCACACCCCTATCTCAAAGGCATCTCCACAGCTGTGGTTAGTTTCTCCATTGGCAATACGCAGACAGGCAGAGAAAATATTTTCTTCATTTAACAGAACTGATGCATAGCTTCAGCAATGATCCAGGAGATCATATGTAAAATAATTTCACTTCCCCTGACCCTCTGCAGATGATCAGGGGAAGCATTTAATTGACAGGGAGAAGCAAAGTGCTGTTCGGATGGGAGGTGCATTCCATATGGCATGCCAAACTCAGCCAGTCTTTTTAAACCCAATCCAGCCCACACCAAAACAGCAAGTCTGGACAGGCCCTTTCTGTTATTTTAAAAAAGTGGCAGCTATGTTAGTCTATTTCAAGGGGAAAATGTCTTATGTTACTCTGAAGACTAGCAGCTTTATTGTGTTGTGAATTTTCATGGATTGCAATAAAGATTTTTAGGCATAGGCTTCTGCTGCACTTTGAGGAAAACTCAACAGGAATGCTAGTGTAATTGTGTTAACAGAAAAATTATACCATACCACCTAAAGGATATCTCAAATGGCAACACTTTCCTCAGGAGAAAACAACCAGAGGTGAAGTGGCTCAGAAACTAGCCTTATTCAGAGGTTGGTATCTTGCCATGAAGAGATCAGTGTGAATGTGCAGCCCACCCATGCCCCAGCACTTAGATGTCCCAGCCAAGGCATGATCAGCATTGTTCTGCAACGGATGCCAAAGTGTGCAGTGCAAGCATGGGCAGAGTTGTTTCCTAGGTCTCTTTCTGCAGCCAATGTTTCCATTATGAGCAACAACTCATCTTTTAAGTAGATCATACTTATTACCTGAAAACAGGGCTGTCCAGCCACCTGGAGGTTTTTTTTAAATTCACATTTATGGCGGTCCACACAGGCCCAAGATACTAGGCTCAGAACACTGGACTGCAGACCTGCCAAGCTTCTCCATCCTGACACAGACTTCCTCCATTTGAGAGAAACTTTTGATTAGACTTCCTATTCCTGCAGAGGGGCAATGTATGACCCTCCAGATGTGTGTGGCTCTCTTCATCTCTCACAGATGATTTGGTCTTTATTTTAGAAGACCCATTAAAATCAGCCCCAATTTTACTTCAGCAAATTGAAGAATTTGGTGAGGTAGCTGGATTGAAAATCAATAGAGAGAAGATGAAATTCTTAACTAAAAACTTAACCCAAAAACAAAAAAGTCAGCTCATCTTAAATACAAACATTCAAATAGCAAAGAAAGTAAAGTATTTGGGAATTTGCTTGACAGCTAGATGCTCTTCATTGAAAGAACATAATTATGTGAAATTGCTTTTGCAGATTAAGCAAGACTTGGAAAGGTGGAAGAAACTACTACTCTCCTTTCTAGGAAGAATTACAACGGTTAAAATGAATATTTTATTTTTATTTATTTATTTATATTTATTTATATCCTCCCCAAACTACTCTTTCTCCTCCAGAATTTACCAATTAAGCTAGGGCAAAAGTTTTTTTGAAGAATTAAGCAGCCTAGTTTCAAAGTTGATATGGCAGAAGAAGAAACCGAGAATTAAACGCAAATTACTACAAGACGCCAAAGAAAGAGAAGGATTTGGCTTGCCAAATTGGAACTTATATTATCAGGCAAGTACATTAACGTGGATTGGGGAATGGATAAAACTAAAAAATAAGAGAGTACTATACTTAGAGGGACATGATTTGCAAGTAGGATGGCATGTGTTTTTATGGTACGGAAGGACTAAAACTCATAAATATTTTGAAAGAAATATAATAAGAAATTCTCTGTTAAGGATTTGGGAAAAAGTTAAATCTAAAATATATGTGAAAATACCTAGAATGGTCTCACCAATGAAAGCGTTTACATACCCAAATTTGCTAAATTTCAAAAAAAAAAATAACTACTGTACTTATAATGAGCTTTTGAATTCTGAGGGACTTTTGAAGACAAAAATTCAATTAGAAAACCAAGGAATAGTTTTTTCATGGTGGCCTCCAATGCAAATACAATCAATTTATAATCAAGATAATAAGGTTTTTATAAAGAATATACAACATTTGACAAAATATTACTTACTATAGAAGAAAAACAAATTCAAAAATTGTATAATTTTTTTACTGCAATGGGATACACAAGATGAAGAAGTTATAGATACAATGTTAAAATGATCTAAAAACTTTGGCTATATTATGGAATTATAAAAATGGCAACAACTTTGGACAAAAATTATAAGTTAACATTAGCAACTTCCTACAAAGAAAATTTATATAAAATGTTTTATAGATGGCATTTGTCACCAGCTAGACTTGCAAAAATGTTCCCAAATATGTCAAAAAAGTGTTGGAAATGTAAAAATCATGAAGGAAGTTATTATCATGTATGGTGGACTTCTGATGAAGCAAAAAATTATTGGGCTAAAATCCACATGTGGAT